TGTGTACCGCCGCACTCAGGGTCGTAGGTCACTTTCAACTGTTGCGTTCCAAGGAATAAAACAAAAAAGACTGGAATATTTGAAAGAAATTTACGTTTTCGTAAGCTTCCATTGGGAATAAAAGGGCGAGAAATATTTTAAATCTGAAATTAGTACGCTATAAGAACTTGTTTAATTATTTTAAAACGAAAAAACCGATCCCAAATTGACGTCGTACGCCCCTGAACGACGGTCGAGCACAATTTTGACAACTCAAAGGTATCGAATGACAGGATGAGGCTACCGAAACACATAAACTTTAGGGTCAGTTAAATTTTTGGCTAACACTATATCTTTGAAGCAGCTATACCTGTGATGGCAATTTGTACACACAGGAATCGCACATGTGGTGGTTTTATTATACCGGAGGAATGTCAGCAGCAATAATGAATTGATGAAATAATTAGAAAATTAACTATGATCCATATCATATCGTGTTTAATTTTATTTTTATCAGAAAAATTATACCAATCCTTTAAACATCTTTTTATAACACTAAATTCAAAAATCAGAATAGAATTACATTAATAATGAAACTTTAATTTTTCATTATTAATCTAGTTCTTCGAAGTGCACGATTTGCTGCCTTGACTCTCGCCGTCTCTTTCTGCTCTGATCAGCGTTAAATACTCGATCAACTGGTCCGATTTGATCCAACGTACATGACGTACAACGATCAGTCCACGCCAAGCGAATCACTTTTGTACCTCATGCATGGGATTTTGCTCAAAGCGAGGTGGAAATTTGGCAATTTTCACCGATCTTTAAGAAATTTACCTTCACAAAAGAATTTTTATCTCCGCAATTATTAACCATACAAACTTCATATTGTTTCGTTTTAATTGTAAATGATCGCTCTTTATAATTAATTTTTTGTTTTATACATAAAGTTATTTTTGCAATGAATTACTAAACATATTTTTGTGTCGTAAATTTGCCATCGCTACAAGTCTGAAAAAATTTGGAAAATATATGTTCACATTCTGTTATCTTATTTCTTTATAATCCGTTTTGTTTTAAAACAGGCCTGTCCAACATGTGGCCCGCGGGACAAAATTGAATTGCGCCCCTACCGGCTTGCCCTTTCAGTCGAGGAGAATGACCCCCTCCATATCCACAAGAAGCCCGACGAGATAGAGGCAAGAAAGCGTGTGCGCATGCTTTGACTATCCCCACTTCCGACGCTCTCGAAATCCCTACCCGCACGTATCTCTTGCCCCCCGACCGCAACGCAGCGCAGGCGACTAATGGGGAATGGACTGAGTGATGTTGGGGACTGCGTCGTCTGGCGATGTGACCCGCGAGCAACATGTTGGACAGGCCTGATTACTGATTACTGATAACATTGCTTCTAGGGAGTCGTGTGTCGGTACCGAAGAGTGGATTATCAGTCTACGGAAGCAGATATGGTGATCTGTAGGGGACCCTCCGGAGTTTGACTTTTGGCCTTCTTTTCCACCAGATTCAACTTTATTAGGCCCGGGCCACTTGGAGGCATGAGTGTGCTCAGTAAGGGGTGGGAAGTCAACAGGATGGGCCCATTCTACCTACTTAAAGAGCTAAGGAGTCGGACGTCGAGGTATCCAGATCCCTCGTTCCCATAAAGGTGAGCACCAGCTCACTCCTGTCGCTCCACAAGCCGAACTTGTTCACCGGGGGTGTACATCGTCACATTCCTTCGTCGAGAGAGAGCTGTGTCGCCTATCCTACCCCCTGATCAAACGCTACCTGCCTATGTCCCGATTATTTCAAGAGCCCCACCCCCGTCCTCTGTTGCCCCGTTCAAGCCGCCATCCCACGTCCCCAGTGGTGTTCTGGAGAGAGCCCACGGTGCTCCGGATAGTGAGTAGAGTGGGGGCGTGCGCTAGTCTGCCTCTAGTGGAGATGTGGCGGAGTTCGCGTTACGTAACTTCCCGGGATTTGTAGGAGTGATTTGATATCTTTCTACAGATGGGTGTGATTTTATAAGGATAGAACGGTGTAGAGAGTAGGTCACGTCCTTGGACAGGCCTGAGTGGTACCTTGGTGATGAAATAAGCATCGGCCTATCTGCAACTAACAATAACTCCAAACAACAGACTCTCGGTTATAATAAAGCCGGAAGCCTCTTTAGTCCTCGGCTCGTAACAGTATACATTCGTGTGTCATGGTTCATAAGTACTATTAAATCGAAGCATCGCATATTTTTGTTCCCGCCAAATCATATTAACTACACGTAACACGAACGTGATATATAATATACAATTTATGCTAATAATACCCATAGTTAGGAATGAATCGATGCAAGTAAGTACGAGTATTTTACTCGATACTTTTGTTTCGATACCGAGTACTGTTGGTATCGATACGTACGATTACGATACCAAGTAGGTATCGAAAAAAATTACTCGTATCAAATGGAGTGAGTATCAACCCATCAACAATTGATATTGTAATTACTTTCAACTCAAAAAATGTTGTTTACATTAATAATTAAGCAATGTGTATTTAAATATTGTCAATGTTAAAATAATATGGGTATACATGGTTAGGTGTGAGCTTCTGAAAATGGTATTTTCAAATATAGAACATGTTTTCCTGTATTGTTTCCTGCAGCGTTTCTATCTACCATTTATGTTATGTTTGACATAACCTTGTTCAATATATGCATGCCACCTTCCCAATGAAATATTTTACTACTTAAATGTAGAAAATTTAATTCACTTGCGAAGTCAAAGACCGCGTTTTCCGTTTCAGTTTCTACTATATATTTCATTTAATTTTATCATTAATAAATGAATTATTTATATTACTGATGAATCTTTATTTATTCCTTTGTTTTTACAAAGATAACGGGCTTTCCCATTTTTCTAAGTACACAGAACCCTCAATAAGTGTAAATCGGCTCTTCCACGATGTGTGCAAAGGCGTCATCCCTACCACTGGGGAGTGGCAACGCAACACAAGTGAGTAGTGGGGGCTGGTGTTATTGTTTATGTAGCCCCACGGGCGAATGTTTGGCCAGGCCTGCATTAAGGTGTATAAATATAGTCGACATTGTTTTTAGACAACATTGAAGTAATATGGGGTGCGAGTGGTATGATCGGTCGATGTAATCGCCGAGCGTGAGGCTCGTTTACCTAAACGTGGCGCATCACTGTCTATTTTTTTAAACAAATGCGACATCAGCAAAAGGATGACTTTAAAAAAACCTTATGTCACGTGAACTACATCATATTTTATTTTAAACAAAATCCTTGTCATCGAGTGTAAAAAGTGATCGGTGTGGCTTGAAATGATCCTTGTGTAATTTAATTTGATTTATATTTAGCATTACTTCATAATATAAAATGTTTCCGTGAAGTGAACATACAGATTACACTTACTTAAATAGAAACATGAAGTAAACTTTAAACATATTTGAAGCTTGTATAGGCAAACAGTTATTACGAAATACGGAAAGTAAACTTAGTAAGCAAACATCGAGCAGTTTTCGGAGACTTTCTATTTATGGCGTATGACTTATGTATAATAAATAAGTAAAATGCCTCGGAACAATATAATTACGTGCTGTTGAAAATTGTTTGCGTACATACTAGGCATTCGATATAAAAACAAAAATTGAACATGACCTTCCATCTCGATAAAAAAGTACAGTAACAGTAAATCAATTGCAGTACTGTATGCCCTCCTGGAAGCCATGCAACTTCCGTGTGAAACATTTTTTCCTACAGCAAATAATTTCCGAATTATTTGAAATCGTCTTGTTATGAGATTCACTCTCTACATAACATTACTCAGGATATTGACCTTTGTAACATACATTAAGTTCATTGAAATCGACAAGGCGTATTCTATTCTGAATACAGTGGACTCTAACTATATTGCCACTAAACATATTGCCACGCCAGGCACTTCCCCTTCAAACGTACTTTAGTGCATACAGATTCGCTCTCCCACCACGTTGCGTACGCCGGCGCACCAACACGTTGAGGCCGAGGCTACGACGACATAACTTAGTATGGCGGGGGGGGGGGGGCTCTAAACTCATTGCCATTCTACTCCTCTACAGCCCCAACAATGGCAATATAGTTAGAGCCCACTGTAATTACCAAATAACACTAGTTTACAGTCATTTGGTGATCGAGACTCCACTATGAAATTCTTATGCAACGTGGTCCCCTAAACTCAAAAATCGATGTGAGACGAAATCCTAATAAATACACAAATTTTGTTACCTTACAATAGATAGCGTTGGACATTTCAGGAGTTCAAAAATTCGAAATATGATTGAAAAATGACATTAAGAATAAATAAAGACATGGAAAAAATACATTTAAATTTGTTTTCATTGAAGACAAATACGGACTTCGCCACGAATCAGGAAGAAATAAGGAAAAAGTTGAGAATAGGCACTCCCACTCTATCGGCCATAACTTCCTTATTTGTCCATGGATTTTGCTCAGATTGGCCTTGTCTTCTTCGTAAAGGTGTGTACTTTATGTAAAAAGTACTTACTTTTACTGGACGTCACATAATAATTTCTATGTTATCCAGGCGATGTTGTGAATTTTCGATTTCAATTTCGGCCCCAAAAAATGACATTTTTCTTCAGTTTCGCTCGATTCCGCCTAAACTATTGATCCGATTGGAAAACAATGTATGAAATACTGGTATCTAATTTAATTACCCTTCATTTAAGAGTCATCACGATCAAATCGGTCAACTCTAACGCGAGATATGGCCAAAAACTTCGGCTCGACTTTTTACAAAATTACCAAAATATTCAACGGGCGATATCTCAAATACGTATCCTTAGGATTTCGTCTCAAGTCGATTTTTGAGTTTAGGGGACCACCTTATATAAGAATTTCATAGTGGAGTCTCGGTCAAATATAATTTTTTGGGTTTTGTAAACTAGTGTAATTTTCACACACACATGTTTTCCAATTGATTGTATAAAAAGATATGGCATTAGTTACCCATGGGGAGGTGGAAGAATCCTGTAATCTCTGCAAACGGACAAAGATGGAGCGGCTGGTATTTTGTCAGTGTTGCCCGACGTCAGGGGAGGTGGATTGTTAGTACCGGCAGTGGATGGTGGTGGTGGAAGTGGTGACGGGGGTGGTGGCGTCGCCGTGTCCGGACGTTCCAGCGATGCCGAAGGGGGCGGCCTTAGAAGCAACGGCGCTGCGCTACCTAACCCCAAGCACCGCATTCTCCATGCGTCCTGAAGCAACTGCAGGCGGGCCTGCTTCCGCCATTTTGCTCGCCGATTTTGAAACCAAACCTGAAATCATAACCGTTTAGTCTTTTATTGTTACTGGTTCCTTGAATAGCAGAGGGTCTGGTTTATTATTAAGAGCTAACAATGTTTTTTCACTGTCTCTTCTTGCATTTTCAGAAAGCATAAGGCATAAACGGTGTATGTAAAGGGTTTTGCAATAAAAACGATATGATTTTACAATGAAATAAAATAAAAACTATTTTAGATACAACCACACTTTTTATATTATTTTGAAGTAAAGTTTATTACATTATGTTTTGAATAACATATCATTTAAGTGTCCACCTCGACTTCGTGCACACTAGCGAATTCGATGAACCTAATTTTCAATGACTTTGTGCAATAACTCGGGCCGAATATCACGAATGCAGCGTTTGTTGTTCAATTTTAATGCATGAAGGGTTCGTGGTTTGTTAACAGTTGAATTTCTTGAAATTATCTTTTCACCAAACTGTTCTTTTTAAAAAAATTGTAATTTTTTGATAATAACCAAACGTTCTTCAAGCGTGTATTTAGCCATGATAAATTGTCAGAGTATACTGAAGACAAATGACTACTAGTGACAGTTTTAGCATTTTAAACATGGTTGCCATTTCATTTCAAAATCATATCATTCTTATTGGAAAACCCTTTACTTTTTAAATTTTATTTGAAATTTGTCAAACTGCTGGAAATTTAAGGGTTTGAGATCCATGACGTATGTACAAGGAAGCGTTAATTCTAAATTGGCGTCGCAGTTTTTCGGAAAATATATTTTTTGAGGTAGTGTACATGTTATGTAAAAAGTGAACAAACTGATAAGAAATTAAAATGAAATAATTCTGTTAGTTTAATGAAATGTTGAAAAATTTGTATAGAAGTCAAGTTTTCCCCTTATCTAATGCTACTTTATGAATTTTCCTTCTTTTTGAAAGATACCAGTTTCCTGGTTCACTGTTTAAATATTTATTAAAAGGAATTTTTCGATGACATCATTACACATCAGTTTCGTAACTGTAAAAATTGTAAAAATTTCTCAAATGATGAATACAACGCCGAATTTATATTCTAATCTAACGGACTTGATGAAGGATCAAAATTTTACACACATATTAATGAATTTGAAAAAAAAGTATGACTTGCTTTTAAGAAAACAACCCAAAATTTCCTCGGCAATCAATGATCAAAGAAATATGTTTCCATAGTAAACGAACTTTTAAAATCCTGTAAAAATCTTGGCTCTAACATGTCCCTAAAAACGCACTACCTACATTCACATCTCGATTTTTGTCCTCCAAACCTCGGTGACGTCAGTGATGAACATGGAGAATGTTTTCACCAAGACATTTCAAAAATGGAAAAACGGTACCAGGGAAAGGATATGTGTACAATGCTTGCAGACTATTGCTGGACACTCATAAGCGACAACAAAGAACATACAAACGTCAAGCAAGGTGAACAATTTTTTAAACTTATTTAATTAAATTGTGAAGGTAGCTTTAGTAAAGCTGATGTTCACCTACAGAGAATTTCAACGAAGTCCAACAGATGTTCACTATTACTACAGGTAATTCCTCACTTCATATATTTCCTTTTCCCTGTAGTTCAATAGAAGTTAAAAAATGATGTTTGATTGAAATTTGCGTCAATCAAAATTGATGAAAAAGTTCGTCATAATTCCGCATTAGTGTCTAAGAATGCATGAAAAACATCAAAGCTTATACATATAAAAAGTGGGTGCGAATTAGATTGTATTATCGGTGTCGATTGCGCGTAGCCACGGCCCTGACGTGTTCAGCCAGGCGAGTAATGGCCGCGTGGCTGCAAAACGCCAAATGGTTTCTTCAACAGAAATGTCTGCAGAACCCGATACTGTGTAACAAATTTATGCTGGATAAAGAATTATTCGTAAAAATACAAAAATAGTGCGTAGAAAGTACGCGTTGTAACCCTTTTTTAAACTTTGACGTTGATTTACAACCATTCAAAATTACAAAATATAATAATTATGTGCAGTGATATAATCAGGAAACATTCCTCTATCATTTAAGATTAAATTGAATTGTCTGGCGTTCTTAACTTTCACGTAATACACCATTTTCCCCGAAATTGTGGGTTTTTACAAACATTCGTGTTTCTCAAAAACTGAGGGTGATAGAGCAATTTTGCTTGCGGATTCGAGTTTAGAACGAGAAACCCTACAAGGACCACCCAGTGGATATTGCAGAACAAAACTAAGGTTAATATTTGTTGGACAATGTAATCTTCGAATATGTGAAATGCTTCTGACCCTCGTAAATACGTTTCTTGCTCGAAGCTCTCAAGCCTCGGCAACTCGCCAGGACAAGCGAGTGAAGAACAGAGAGGGAAGCTTCTGTTTACACTCGACTCGGCTGCGTGGCCTGCCTGCGACGCTCTCGCCGACCAATGATTACATTATAGCCGACCGCACAGTCCTATTGTGTGTGTACCGTTTCAGCCAATAAAAAAAATACGTGTGACTGGAAGTGATCCAGCTACATTTGATTCGTCGGCAGCTCTCTGGGCATTCGCTGACGATTGAACGCTTCGACTAATCGTTGCGCATTCCCACGCTCCGTCCGTCAAGTCCATCGAGCGCATACATTGTTGTCTCGGCGCGCCGAGACGGCTTCCCATTCACGAGCCAAAAAAAAATTACATTCCTGGGTGTCGGTGAGACAACACTAATGCAACGATGAAACTTTTTTATTTTTGATTCATTGTTAATGAAACTTTTACTAGTATATTGGTGAGATTTTTCTGATTAAAATGATGCCAAATACGACATAATTTTATTAAAATTCCTATTCTTTCATTATTGCTTCTGATAAATTACGAACATGACTTCTTAAATACGTTTAATAATAACAATATGATTGTTTTAAACGGGGCTACATGCTTGTATTATTACTCTGTTATTAAGCATTTCAAGACAAATTCACCGACATATTTGGAAGTTTTGTTTGAATAATAATTTAATTGAATATTGCTGGCAAATATCAAGTCCCGTTAGCTTGTTTCCATAACGCATGATCCGTGAGAGAATATTCCAATAGTAATTCGAATAATTATTGTTCAAACGGAACTTCCAAATGTGTTGTTCAATTCGTCTTGAGCTGCTTAATAACTTTATAATAATATAAATACACAGATTCATTTAAAAAAATTACATTGTTATTAAAAGCTCAGTAAATAACAATTAAAAAAAAATTCAAATACCCTATTAAGTTTGTCCCATGAAATCAAACAACTTTTGTATGAAATATGTTTTCATATTTTCAATGGTTAGAGAAATAATAGCGTGTACTTATACACTTAACCGGAATCCCATGTTCTGCGCTTGGGGGCGGCACCCGAATGTCTTTCAAGCTCCATCCTGACTACAATTGTAAAATAATACAGACTCCTCTCGATTATCATCTGGCTTGTTCTACACGATTATTGTCCAGGATTTGCCCCACCCCCCTCCCCCAGGGGGGAAGCTGTGGAACCTGTCAAGCGCGTACTTTGTGGCCACTCCGCATTTGTTGACGAGGCTCGGGCTCCACGCAAAGATCAAAAGAATTTATGAGGGTCTGAAGCATTTCTCCCTATAAGATTATTGTCCCAGGGTGGACCCGAGTTTGGAACGATAATCGGGAGGAATCTGTACTGACGAAATTTGGTATGCTTATCGAGAAACATTTAAGGAACAACTTATATTTTTTTCAGATTTCCAAAACGGGTTTGTTTTTGCAAAATAAAAATGTATTTATGATTTTCATATTGAAAAAGGGTGCGTACGACAAAATTAAAAATATACTTACAAAGGTGAATCTTTTGCGAAGGAAAGGAAACAAATTTTGTCTGCAAGTGTAATAGTTTCCGAAACAAAAATTCGTTTCTACAGTCATGTACGTCTTATTATTGTGAAACATTTATATGTACATTTATATATGCATGCATACATATTGTACTACGCACTTTATGCTACCCTGATATACAGTAACAATAACTATGTCCACTGAATATTGCCGTTATTTGTAATAAGATGAAAAATGTTATATACAAAGCTTACACAGTATACAGGGGGGCATAATGTGACATAAACATTTTCTGCGTGGCTGAAGGCATAGAGGAGATTTCAATGTCATCTCTATTTTTTTTTAATGGAATGCTATGTTTTTTTTATTGCGATATGATAGCCGGTGTTGAGATATCTTCAGCGATCTATCATTAAAGGTCATGCAAGGTCAAATGTAGTAGTAAAATAAATTCTTACATTACAAGAGATGCTCGAAGTGGTGACCGTTTGCGTCAATGCAAAGTTGCAATCTTCGTGTCGCTGCATCGCGTGCATGTCTTATCGTTTCTGAACTTATTCTAGCACATGCTGCAATTATCCTTTGTTTCATATTTTCTGGTCTAGTGGGTACTTCTTGATAAACAGCATTTTTTAATGCTCCCCAGGGAAAAAAATCTAATGGAGTTAAATCTGGAGAACGAGGTGGCCAAGAAACTAATCCTCCACGTCCTATCCATTTATGTGGATAAAGTTCGTTCAGTGCATCTCTTATTCTCCGAGCATAATGTGCTGGACACCCGTCAAGCTGTAACCACATCATTTGGTAAACGTTTAGTGGTACATTTTCTAGACCATTCGTTTATGTAAAAGTGGGGGTCTATTAAATAATACAGCATGCTCTAGAATAAGTTCAGAAACAATAGGACATGCACGTGATGCAGCAATACGAAAATTGCAACTTTGCATTGACGCACACGGTCACCACTTCGAGCATCTTCTGTAATGTAAGAATTTCTTTTACTACCACATTTGACCTTGCATGACCTTCAATAATAGCCCGCTGAAGTCGTCTCAACACCGGCTATCATATCACGATAAAGAAACATAGCATTCCATTAAAAAAATAGAGATAACCTTGAAATCTCCTCTATTCCTTCACTCACGCAGAATATGTTTGTGCCACAATATGCCCCTCCCCCCCTATACCATGTAAGTTTTGTATATAACATTTTTTCATATTATTACAAATAACGGTAATATTCAAAGTGGCCATAGTTATTGTCCCACCCTGTATAACATACTAGAAGTACTGCTGAACTATTTCGTTTTCCTATTGACAACAAAACAGATTTTGTTCTTTCCTTGACACTTTCCTTAGCAGAAAGGTTTGCTCTATCGCATGATATGGTTACATTTTCTCCTAGAATATCAACTAAAGTTGGTGCATTTTCGGTGTCCTTTTTTATTTTTATCATTATTTACACATATTTAAATGTCTATAATATAATAACAAATTACATAATTTTGTGCGGGAGGGTCCAGAGAATTATTTCGTGGTAAAAGCAACTGAATAACAATCACTGTAAAAGTACAACACATCTCCAAAATTAAAATTTTCAATTTTTGCTTAAAATTGATGTTTTCGAGAACTGGACATGCTGAGGAGAAACGTTTTGCAGATTCGTATTCAGCTCATAAAAATCTATCAGAAATGCCTATTAACGATTATGAGGTATTGTACGTGTTGAACAGTGTAATGAAAGTAATTGTTCACACTATCTACATACATAAGTAAATATTATTCAAATTGCGTCGTGTTTGGTATCATTTTAGTCGGAAAAGTCTCACCAATATGTTTGTAAAAGTTTCATTAACGAAGAACCAAAAATAACAAAGTTTTATCGTTGCATTAGTGTTGTCTCATCAACACCCGGGAATATAACCTTCTTTGTGGGCTCCAAACGTTAAGTTGTCGCCCCTCCCCCCCCCCTTGCCCACAATGGTTGGGATGAGGCCTGGACAATAATCGTGGATAAACGGTCAGTCAATAATCGTGAGGTCCCTGCATTTTTATTTTAAACTGCCCCTATTTATTTTGTTCAATCCTTTTTGAAAATAGGAGGTCCACGCCCTGTCTACATCTGTAAACAAATAATACTTTATTTTGATTTATGCTGACCATGTATGAAGTCGAGGCCAGATATATGAGGACAACCTCACAAAAATAAATAGTAATATCAATACTAATTTTCTTCTATGGTTGTATTTCGAACATTCTGTGATCATATGTGTTGTTCGAAAGAAATTGCATGTAGCTTTGCAATTTTTGTGAATCAATCATGTAATTACATTAGTGGGATACTTTTTAATTATTACAGCGCGGTACTCTTCTAATTAAGAACACAGAATAAAATAAAATTTATTTATAGAGTCTTCAATTGATAATTAAATTTTTGTAAATACAATGATATTATAAGCGATTTTTATTTCTTTAAACGTGTCTATACACAGTATCTTTAGGTAGAATAAATGATGTATTTATTTTGGTATGTATAGATAACATGTAACAGATACATGATAAATAAGGATCTAACACTTTACGGGCTTATTGTTCTTATTGGCAGTAGTAAAAAATACTTAATCCACATGTGTCTTAACATTACTATTTTCTGTGTAAATTGTATATTTGCATGTATTGGCGTTCAGTAACGTAAACACTCTCTGCAGCAGATTCAACGTAAACATAACAATCGGTCTAGAAGTATATTACATACTTGAAGATTGTATAATAGATTGTCACTGACTACAACAAAGATTACTTGGTAGCAGAGATCATGGCTTTGAACGTGTATTAAAAACACACGTGTACACGTGTATTTCACGTACCACTACGTCAGTACATGTCATTTTACGTACACAGGTACACGTGTATTATTTCACGTACATTTAAATACGTGATTATATAGGGTGGTCCACGCAATTGTTTCAGGTCATAATTCCGTTATTAATGCATTTATGAAAAAATGCCAAAGGAGAAAGATAAATGGCTCGACGAGCACTGCATCTGTAGGCCCTTAAATTTTTTTTAAGTGCAACAGTTCATGTGCACTTAACAATTGCATCATTTCTTTAAATGGAAATGTATACTGTTTGTTACAAACAGATAGATTCCTCTGTTCATTCTACGTGAAAAATGATTAGGATACCATGGCAAAAAAATTATTGGTTCTCGGGATATTTTCAAAAAATGTCTTTATTGAAGAAGATGCTTAAACGCTTCTCCATTACATTGTAAACATTTCTGATAACGTTTTCTTTTATTGTTTTCATAACTTGGTTAGATTATCTACATTATTTTTTGTTTTATTTACGTTTACTACATAGTCATGAATCGTTTGAGCATCTTCTTCAATAAAGACATTTTTTGGAAATATCTCGAGAACTAACAATTTTTTTGGCACGGTATCCTAATCATCTTTCACGTAGAATGAACAGAGGAATCGATATGTGCAACAAACAATATGCATTTCCACTTAAAGAAATGATGCAATTGTTAATTGCACATGCACTGTTGCACTTAAAGTTCCGGTCCCACGATTTACGCTGTATTATTTGACGGATTTTGCAGTAATGGCACTTATGAATTTGGAATATGTAATTCAAAAACTCATACTTTGCTAACGATATCATTTTCTATAAATTTTCTATTTGTAGTTTACATACGCCAGAGTGTTTCGCTATGCACTACACGTGTAGAAAAAGTATCATTACTAGACCGTGGATGTTTATGTAAATATTCATTCTCGTAAGATATTTTACAAAATTGGATTCACAAAAGATTTATTAGGTCAAAAATGTACCACTAATTTCATTATGTTAAAGCTTTTAGTTCACTGTAAATGTATAAACACCTGCAATCTAATCGTTGGAAGGTGGAAACCACAAAACAATAGTGTGCTTCTTCCATCAGAACAGAATAAAGACGAAAACAAAAGGCCAGCGTAAATAGAGATATTTCGAATATTGGATTTAAGGGTTGCTTTATGAAAGTTTTATATGACATTGATGCCTGAGATAAATTGTTTCTAACATTTCACTAATTTCATTAAAACTTTTGCGAGTTTTGCTTAATGTTTGAGAAGTTTAGATGATAGTGTGATGAGTTAAACTGAAAACAGACGAAGAAGTTTCTATACTCTGTATATATATTTGGAATATAACAATATTTTAGCAAAGGTCGTAACATATATATAGTAGAACACTTTTTATAAATTAGCAAGAAATTTTTATTCATATTGTCACATTGAAAAGAAGAGACTTCGAAAAACATTCTCTTCGATCTACATCATATTTCCTATTAAATACTATCTTATGCAATGGCACAACAAATTTTTTCTACAGTAATATAAGAACTTAAACAGAAGAAAATCAGTATTTTTAGAGCTGGCTACGTTAAAAGAATAATAGAAAAATAGGCATTCTTACGGAAGTACAGAATACATAATTTTATTATATATTAGGTTACTGCATATGAAATGAACGATTTCATTAATTCATGTATCTGATTACATTTGTTTTTATTTGGTTTAATGTTTACGGGGAATAAGACTGTCTAAAATATGGGATAGAACAGATGTGGATCAAAATCAGATAATCTCCTTGTCTGTATTTGCATTTGGAATACTGAAGATAATCTTCCAAGTAAAATTCATAAAATTTCAATTAAGATTCTGGTAAAGATTATTATTTACGGAAACGCTATCTATCAATGAAGGAACAGCAGTCAGATGTATTATTTAAGAAACTATTATACCTAAGTTCAAAGTTACAGAGTTGTCTGTAAAAATTTTGGCTTATACAAGGTGCTCCATGCAACTCGTTCACCCTAAACAACTTCTAAAGTATGCATTGTATGAAAAAACTTTTTCTATAAAAGTTGTACGGTTTGAAGGGATACATTATGTAATGCATATATTTTTTTCCTAAGTGGAGGCCTTTCGGAGATTTGAAGGTGAACTTCGTTGTTTCAAATGGAATATTATATTTTTTATGCCAAAATATTGAAGAGCGTTACATTTTGAGTAAAAAAGTATTGATTTTTATTAGCCGTAATCCTAATAATTAACGAGTAATTTCACTTTGTTTCTTGAAAATGGTCTGTGCGTAATATCAAGTTGATTGATGATAACTTCTCAAAACTGATCAACATTGATGATAACTTCAATACTGAATCACGGTTAGAATAGGCGATTACGATTCCATACGCAGAAACGGTAATGTTGATAAACATTGTCACGTAAACTTCGCGGTTTTACGGAAATCTTTCCTGGTATTGAATCTCCAATTTAACATTACGCACAGACCATTTTCAAGAAACAGAATGAAATTATTCGTTAATTATTAGGTTTACAGTTAATAAAGGTCAGTACTTTTTTACCCAAAATTTAACGGTCTTCGATATTTTCCATGAAAAATATAGCATTCCATTTGAAAAAACGAAATCTCCGAAACGCCTCCACTTACAAAAAAAATATATGCATTACATAATGTATCCCTCCAAACCATACAACTTTTCTCTAAAAAGTTTTTTCATAGAATACATGTTTTAGAAGTTATTCAGGGTAAACAAGTTGCGTGGACCACCCTGTATAATAATAGTGTAATTATTACTGTGTTTCGTTAGCTCCACGGTGCAGAATCTGTTGAAATTTGTTCTGACATAGGAACTTCATTTCAACTTACAAATAATATAAAGTATTTTAATAATCGGTCGTTTCATGTGCTACTACCCAATATTACACTTAATGTAGAAAATGAAAGAAAAGAGTAGAAGGAGGCAGTTTAACAAAATTATGCATATTAACCTGAACACGGGCTTCTGACAGTGAAATTCTTAGGGCGACTTCTTCCCTTAGAAAAACGTCCGGATAGTGTGTCTTCTGGAAGAGAGATTCCAGCTCTCGTAGCTGTTGTGGAGTAAAAGTTGTCCGATTGCGTCTCTGCTTAAACATAAGTTACGATAATTAATGACAGTTCGATAATATAAAATGTAATATATTTTCTTTTATTTATTCTACACAATATCGATTAAAGCCTTATAATCTAGTATGAATCGCAAAACAGTGAACAAAATATTTTTAAACTTAATTCTATGCAGTTTTCTTTTGTTCATATAATTATGAATGTGTTACGTTCCGAACAAAATTCTGTTTTTTTTGTTTCTTTTACTTCGGCTGTGATGCGTTACGATAATGCATAGCATTGTGGGAGCTCCTTAATCGAACGCAGTACGGTCTTTGATGTTTATAAGATAGTTTTTCTCATTGGCGACGCGAATAAGCTTGTATATATAACGCATTCTTTTCTTTGGAGTCAACGTGGTCCCACGCTCAGACCGCTTGATTGTAACGCGAGGTAGATATTTACTTCACCGAACTGCCGAATGTAAACCTCTGGCGTCCGGTCCGATAAAATATCGAGCATCTCGAACTATCTTCTTCGCGTGCGCAGTGAAGTTCAAAATTATAATCTAAATTGTTATAGAACTCGTAGTTTTGATTTCAAATTCTAAATCATATATCGAATTCCGTTGCTACACATCGGTCAGCCCATTACCTACTATATATGTATTTCGTATGTAAGAGGAAAGGCATATCTGATTTTAACATTCTCTATCTGTCTCATCGGATAATGATCATGTTCATGTACCATTTAATTAATTGTGGAAGTTATGCCTTTCTCTCTATTGGCGTCATATAAATTAAGAACATTCCGCTTACAATTTTATCAAAATTCGGCGTACAGTTAGCATATCAAAACGTAGAAAATATTCCCATAGCAGTGACTGAAAGAGTAAAGGAATTAATTCGGAGAAACAAAAGAAAAAAAGATAGAATTAGAGGAGGAAGGATATACACGCTCCTATCACACGTTCAGTTAACGAATCACGGTCCTCAACGCACTAATCTCGCAGCCTGATTCGTCAGGCACCACAGTAATGCAGTGTAAACAACTTCGGACTAGGCCCGCTCTGGTCTTTTCCGAGGGTACAACGCTGCGTCACTTTTCGATGTACAATCGCGAGGTGCGTGTCGAAGGGTCCGTGAGGTATTAATTGAGATAGTTTTGTTCGCGCTAACTAAGAGCTAGAAAATACGACAAAAAGGAATATTTTATTCCCTTTGTATTCTTTAATTTCATTACTTAGTGTTAACAGTTATTATTAGTTTCAATAGTTCTATTTCGTGACTCTATTCAATTCGACATAAATTCCATATTTAAATTCAATTAATCGCAGTGCGTGTGTGTTCTTCCTCATTAGGTTCGCTTTTAAGAACACCCAGAACTAAGATACCAAAAGGAAAGGAGGAAATTCCAGGAATTTTGCAAAAAGGAAAATTTTATTTGAAAATCGTGTCCAACACTGTTAAAATCTAGGTGAGTCGTTTCCCTTACTCTTCCAGATCAATTTACGATAAATACCAAAGACGGGTAAATTCCAGTAGTTGAGTTACAATTGTGGGGTTTCCCTTATTGGAAATTATTTGTATTTTACAATTTGTATACGCGTATTTGTTTGTCTTTGAAATCTAAAATTCAAACCGTTCCGTATATGTATACCAAGCAACTGTGCGTACTAGTATTCTTTTGGCGATAACCTCTGTTAAATATTTCTTCTTCTTATTATATTCGTATGTTTCTTTTTATGTTCATTCAATCTTTTATGTACTGAGCTATTGAGTTGTACACATTTTAAAATTTTATAATATTATTATTATATCATTTTACCAAAGTTAATGTATGTAAGTTCCTATTATAATTCAATATATATAATTCTCTGTTTCTAAATTCAACCCATTTACTTTCTTTTATATTACCTAGTATTTATCTTCCCTAATTTCCACACAAGGCGATCTGGTGAAAGAGCCCGTATGGGACTAAAGTATCAACGAACCCAAAACAAAAATAAAAACCTTAATTGATTGTGTTCCACATTTTATCGTTCACAGTTGGTTGAGGATATTTGTTCGTTGCTGTTTCGGGTAAATTCTAACAAAATTTACATTAGCGAGTGGCACGCGTGTTTACTCTGTAACTAAACAGACGCGTCACGTTACCAAAATTCATATCAATTCGATTCCTGCGTTTTTGTATTGTATTATTCCACCAAAGGCGTAATAACCCATTTACACGCTCGCGCCTCGCATGTAACAAATGAAATAGTACAATTATTTATAATAGTCTTTTTTTTTAAATTAAAGTTTATTTATATAAAACATAACAAATTTCTAATATAAAACATAACAATTTTAAAAGTAAGTAGAGAACATACAAACCAATATTTGATATACAGAAGATTAATTCATAAACATATGCTATATAGGGTGGACCACGCAACTTGTTCAACCTGAATAACTTCTAAAGTATGCCTTGTATGAAAAACGAGAGAATGAGTTGGAGAAATACTTCCTACATAAGAGGCGCCAGGGAATAGTGTTCGACCGTAATGTTATTTAATTATCTGTAATCGGCGCAGAGACGGAATTCTCCATTCTTCTTTCGTACCAATACAATAGGACTTGCGTACTGCGAATTACTCGGTCATATGATTGTCCGTTCGCACAAATCGTCCAAAATTTTACGCAACTGTTCCTTTTCGGTGAATGCTAAACGATGCGGGCAGAAACAGACGGGTTGATCGTTTTTAACCGTAATCACGAGTTCGATATCGTTCGACGCGCACATCTCGTTGTAAAAAATCTTTTAATCATCAATGACGTCCCGAAGTCTACTTCGAGATCAATATTTAAAGTTTCAACTATTGGTAGGATCTATGTATCTAAATATATTAATTATGAAATTAATAAAAGACGATAAATAAAAATTCCTACTCTTGGATTTTTGAACGTAACTCGATTTTGATAATTTGACCAACAAAATTATCGACTTCGCTTTCGGTGGGAACCGAATCAGCCTTCTCAATCTTAAATCTGCGACCCGAAGTAATGTTTATTAGTGATGATAATAGACAGGGTGTTACCTCTAACGCGATACACGATTTTTCACCCACTTGCAGGCAACTGACAAAAAAATGTTTACCACAAGAGTTGCAGGGTATGAAGTGTACACTAGATGTCAGTAAACAAAATTTCGAAAAGAATTTATTTTCATGGCGAAATGGAGGTCACCTTAGGTTTTACAAATAGGAATACATATTTTTCTTGTACCATATTTAGAGGACTAACATGTTACTCGATTTACAGTAGTGGAAATGTGAAATATGTAGCTTTTCGTCGTATTTGCTTTAAGACAGTATAAACATTATTTGACACCGAAGAGATTACTCGATGTAAACACGCGATTACAGGGTGGCGCAACAGTTCGGAGACATTTTTAAAATGCATTTTTCACCTTTCATTAATGACTTACCCAAAATCTTCTTCGGTTTTCTGAATTCATCATATAATTTTGGGTTAGAAAGTGCTTTTCAATTGTTTGTTTATATTTAGTTACCTTCAAAATGTATCGAAATAACAAGCGCGTTAGTATCATTGAGTTGCACAAATCGGGAATGAAGACTGCCAAGATTGGCCGATTAATGGACTGCAGGAGTTGGGAGGGGAACATCGGATCGTCCTAGATGTGGTCGTCCTACCACCGCAACAACACGGAACAATGTGAACAAGGTTAGGTGCAGAAAAAGTTTAATGCGAAAAATGGCAAAAGAGATCGAGATCAGCAAAGACAGCGTTCGTAGGATTGTTCAGAACACGCTGAAGATGCGCAGTTACAAAATTGATCGGGCACACTTCCCCAATGATGATATGAAACGAAAACGACTGGAAAAAGCGCGTCGAATGCTTCGGCTGATCGCCGGTGGTCGCCTCCAAAAAGTTGTTTTTACTGACGAGAAGATTTTCACTATCGAGGATGCGCACAATCGTCAAAATCGCCGTCAGTTGCTCAAAAAAGGTCAGAAGAAGTCTGCTACTGCAAAAGTAGTTAGTCGCAGCCATTTTCCGGCATCAGTGATGGTATGGGCTGGCATTGGCGGAACTGGAAAGACGACACTGATACTTATCGAAAGGAATGTCAAAATCAACGCCCCCATCTATCAACAAATTGTTCTTCGGGATATTTTAGAGCCGTGGGCGACTGAACATTTCGGTAAAAACGGATTCACGTTGCAGCAAGACTGAGCTCCGGCTCATTCAGCACAGTCAACGATCGCAACGTGCGTGGAGTTGTTTCCTGGATTTTGGGGCAAAGACGTTTGGCCCTCAAATTCACCGGACTTGAATCCGATGGACTATTCCGTGTGGTCCATTTTGGAGCAAAAGAATTCCCGAACCCGATACAAATCGGCAAATGACCTGAAGGTGGCTTTGAGGCGCGCGTGGGTCGAAATTACCGTGGAACAGTGTTTGACCATCGTCATCAATTTCCGAGAACGGCTTCGAAAATGCATTGAGGCCAAAGGAGCCAATTTTGAACATCTATTGTAAATTTAATTGTTTAATGTTATTATTACTTATTTAATAAAAGTTATTCACCGATTAAAGATATTGAATTTTAATTTATATGGCAGTTATATACTGCTAAAGTATTTGAAAACAGTCTCCGAACTTTTGCGCCACCCTGTAGAACATCAGAAAAATGCACTTTATTTAATTACATGTTCGAAATGCATTCCGCCTTCCGCGACGCAATATTCTGCCATAGCTACAATTTCACATTTCCACTACTGTAAATCGAGTAATATGTTAGTAAAAATATCATGTAATTAATGTTTTGAATTTCTCTCGATGTCCTCTAAATATGGTACAAAAAGAAAATATGTGTTCCTATTTGTAAAACCCAAAGTGACATCGATTCGCCATGAAAACAAGCTGTTTTCGACATTTTTTTATGTCTATTAAACACTCTATCCCCTGCAACACTTCCAAACTTTTCTTTGTTACATGGCTACAAGTGGGTGAAAAATCGTGCGTCGCGTTAA